ACAAACATTCGCATAAGTGTGAATTTCCATAAGTGGGAACTGGTATAAGTGTGAAGCAGTTGCAAAAACTCGCAAAAGTGCAACATAAATGCGAACTGGCATAAGTGTGCCAAGTAAATTTGCAAAATTTAGCATAATTCCAAACTGCAAATTTATTACACGCACTTATGTCAGTTCACACTTCTGCCTGTTTTTGTAACTGTTTTGTACTTAATCAAATTTTGCACTTATGCCTATTCTTAATGTTTGCTAACCTGTTTGGCGCACTAATGCCAATTTACACTTTTTTCAGTTTGCAAGTTTAAAGCTATAGGTTATCCTATAGCTTTAAACTTTAAATTAATGGTTAGTGTGCTATTTTTTAAATAATAGATTAGATTTAATTAATAGATTAACTGTATCGTTAAATAAAAATCTAAATGTTTAATTACATTTAGATTTTATGAAAAAAAAGAAAAAAAATTTTAAATACAGTAGTTAATTATAATTTCATAAGTTATGAGATATAATATTATTAAAATAAATTATTTTTAGTTTTATGACAAATTCACTCATGGCCAAATCTAATATGGCAGCTGGAAAAGGCAAAGAATCTTTTTAGTATAACCAAGCTATACAACTTAATAAAAGGTACGTTTATATATATATATATATATATATATATATATATATATATATATATATATATATATATATATATATATATATATATATATATATATATATATATATATATATATATATATATAATATGGCTAGTGATTCCCAAAGGGCAATAATTAATTATAAAACAAGCAGATTTTTTTTTTTTTTTTTTTTTGAGTCTAAGGTTATGATTTAGAAAAAAAAATCGAAAACATTAGGACCAGTCAAGAATTTAGAATCCAAAGAGGAACCTCAAGATATCATCAAAATCAAAAAACATTTTTTTTACTTTGTTCTTATGAATAATAGACATCGATTCGTGTCTCAGGAAAATTTATTTTTTAATTTTTTTTGTTATGAAAATCACTATACTCTAATATATATATATATATATATATATATATATATATATATATATATATATATATATATATATATATATATATATATATATATATATATATATATATATATATATATATATATATATATATATATATATTAGGGTGGCCCTTATAACAACTTTTTTGATAAAAACCTGCTCCCACCCCCTAAATGTGTTCTATCTAATACAAAAATACTAGGTTTAAAATTTTTTTGAATAAAAAATATTTTCATGGGACACTCAACACCCTCAAATATTTAATGGGTCCCTAATATTTTCAAAAAAAAAGTTTTTCAAAAATAAGTCTACGTAGTACTCAAATGAAGCGAAATTTTATAAAAATTTGAAAAATATATTCATTTTGAAAAAATTTCAACTTATTTATTAAAATGATCATATAAAAACATTAATTTTTTTTTTTTTTTTTTTGTTAGAAAATGTAATTTTTTAAGTAATAATAACCAAAAATATATATATATATATATATATATATATATATATATATATAGATAGATAGATAGATAGATAGATATAGATATATATAGATATATATAGATATATATAGATATATATAGATATATATAGATATATATATATATATAGATATATATATATATATATATATATATATATATATATATATATATATATATATTTATTTATTTATTTATTTGTTTATTGAGATAATGAGCCAATAAGTTTTTGTGTAATAGTTGAAATTATGAATCTTAATAACACTTTAATAATTGGTTTATTAAGTTAGCGTGGTATATCAAATGAGGGAAAATTTAAAATACTAAATAGTGGTGTAAATAACTCCATACTGTTAAAAATGGAATTAGTGCTTTTCCCTTGTATACCTATCTCATAAAACTACCGCAAAGCAGAATCGGCTTTAGGTTCAAGCGAGCTAGTCCAATCGTTTTGCCACGGCTTGAGATCCTACATGAAGAAAAACCATGAAGTTTATCTGACAGCAAGCACAGTTAAAAAATGCCTGTAGCAAGCTGGTTTGAATGTGAGAATTGCTGCGAAGAAGCCTTTATTGCGACCTGATAACATCGTGAAAAAAAGAGTATTCACAAAGTTGCACAAAACCTGGACTGTCGAACAATTGAATAAAATGCTATGGAGTGATGAAAGTACCTTTACTGTTATCTGTGGAGCTAAAAGAGCTTATGTTAGGAGAATAGTTGGTGAATGATTTAGTCTTCTGTGTGTTAGTGAATGATTTAGTCCTCTCATACAGTAAAGCATGGAGGAGGCTCTCTTATGGTATGGGGTTGCATGTCAGGATCAGGTGTAGGTCATTTATAGTGTTGTACAGGCACGGTAAACCAGGATAAATATTTGGAAATATTAAAAACACAAATGAAACCATCAGCAAACAAACTGTTTGGTAAAAACAAACCATTTTTCTTTCAACAGGACAATGCTCCTTGCCACAAAGCTAAGAAAGTAATAAAATATCTAAAACATGCTCGTACCAATGCTATTGAATGGCCTCCACAAAATCCTGACCTGAACCCCATTGAAAATTTGTAGGAGGAGCTCTTCAGAAAAGTACAGAAAACCAAACCCAGCAATCTGGATGATTTGTGGCAACATTTGCAAGCTGCATGGCTAGCAATCCCTGTTGTCACCATCCAAAAGCTGGTACAATCTATGCCAAGACTTGTACAGGCCGTGCTTGATGCGCATGGAGGGCATACAGAATACTAGTCTTTTAGTCAGAATTTCTTATGTTTTATTAGTGGCGCTTATTACTGACAATGCAGAGTCATTTTTATTTCAATGTGATGCTGTTTTATTTATATTGTGCCAAAAATGTGTATACATGTGTATATATATATATATATATATATATATATATATATATATATATATATATATATATATATATATATATATATATATATATATATATATATATATATATATATATATATATATATGCAATGTGAAGTTATATATATTTTTTTAAAACATATATTTGTAATTTAAAAACTTATTACTATTATTATTATACTATATATTATTATTATACTATAATACTATTATTGCTGTTCAGATTGTCTGTTTTAAATATATAGTTTTTTCTTTTAGTTTGTGCATCGACTTCTCACAAATTATACACAGAGTCGATTGTCGATGCAATAATTGCTGATTCGTGAAAGCGGGCAACTTTTGCTTGTCTTAAAGTGCCTTAAATCTAACAGATATCATCGTTATAATATTACTTTGTTTGTAAATTGTTTTAAAAAATAAATTTAAAAATAACTTTTAAATAAATTTTTTATTTTTCTTGTTTTTTAAACCAACAGGTTCTTTTAAAAACAATTTAATAATAGTACCTATGGATTTAGGAATATTTTTTAAAAAATAACGACTTTTAAAAATTTAAAAGACGTTTTTTTATGGTTTAATTTAAGTTATTTGAGAACGTTTTTTAAACGTTTTTTTTAGAACGTTTTTTAAACGACTTTTTTAGAACGTTTTTTAAATGCTTTTTTAAAAACGTTTTTTAGGTATTGCCATTCAGAACGTTTAAAAAACGTTTTTTTCTTAGTTAAAAAAACGTTTTAAAAACGTTCATGTGCTTACTGGGTTGGCACAGATTTTCCATGTAATGGGTTATGATAAAATTCATTAAAGAAAAAATGCTTCCACATTTAAACATATGATACTTAGTTTACAAATAAAGTGTAGCGTCTTTTACATTTTTAGAAACGTACGTCAGAAACAGTTGTTACAATGTAAAATCTACAAAAATAACCATGCCTATAGATTATAGATAAAGAAGAATACTATAAATATACTTTAATTAAATGATAGTGTTGTTGCACTATTATTTAATCTTAATAAATAATAGTGTTGCTAATAATAGCAATAAACTATATAAGTATATTTATAGTATTCTTCTTTATCTATAATCTACAGGCATGATTATTTTTGTAGATTTTACACTGAAACAACTGTTTCTGACGTACATTCAAGTACGAGCAACAAATGTAAATTATATTTATAAAACTAGTGACGTTAAGAAATTATCAAAGGAGTTACCACGTCTAAATATGAAGATAAGTGTTACCACCTCTTGATATGAAGATAAATAGGTGTAAGTAAGTAAAAACGCGCTTATATAATATTGATGATCAAATGCAAAAACTTAGTACATTTTGCTAAAAAAGATTGCGTTTTCAGTTTAATACAGATTTTTTCATTTAACGGCATAAAAATTGTATATATAACATATAATCTTAAAATAAATACATATATAAAAAATACTCTAAAAAATTTTTATTTAGAAATTTAAATGTACTTAATTCCAATATACACGATTATATATAATTACAAATAATTATACATAACCGTTAATTACAAATAATTATATATAACCGTTAATTAGCTCGGACTTTTACAGTTTCAGCGTATGATTTTTCAATTATAATACAATAGTTTCAATTATAATATATTAAAATATAAACAATGTAATTAATTTGGTATAACATATCAAATATTATATAAAATAATATTTAGAGAAAGCTAAATATGGGTTGAAAATAACTTTTTTTTTCGGCCAGTGAGATTACTTTAATTCATTTTTTAATTAACCATTAACTCAACAAAATACCCATCCGGTATTTGGGCCTAAAAAGACGTTTTTTAAACGTTCAAAAAACGTTCAGAACGTCTTTTAAATGTTCATTAGACGTCTTTTTAGGACCAAATGCCGGCTGGGTACAAAAAATATATCTTCCTTTATAAAAAGAAGAGACTGATCTATAGTATGAAAATATTTTTATGATCCTTTAAATATTATTAATCTTTTTTTTTTTAGTTCGTCATTTGGCCAACTAACTTGACCAAATAACTGATTTCTAATACAAATAACGATCGAGCGCTTTATTTATAATAGAATTTTATTATTATATTAACATTATTATCAATAAAGAAAAAAATTTAAAACCTGTTAAAATTAAATGAACCATTGCGTTGTTATTCCACTGAAAGTCTTCGGGGTAACACAATTTGTTTGAATTAAATGAACGAAAAACATAGACTGAGAGTCTTGATATTTTGCTTTCATGGAAGTCTTCTAGGGCCAGTTCAATCAAATAACGGTCGCCGTATACATCATGTGCACTTTCAATATTAACAATTGTGTGCAATTTGAAACGACTAATAAAAATAGTTGAAAATTATTTAGATAAAAAATCTATATAATTTTTATAGCTTGAAAATAAATAGCAAAAATTATAAATACATACTTAGGGAACTTGATCGAAAGGGCCATCATATATTTATTGACTGGCCATTGAGCAGAGACTTCGTTTTCAACTTCGTTGCCTTGACAATGCATAAGTTTTAATGACTCACCTATGCATTCGGATGAATGATCCCATGTTTGATCTCTTGGAAATATTCGAGTCGAAATATTGTAGTAGTGAGGCAAATGTACTCCTTCGTATTTACCTAAGTTTTTAGCTTTTTCGCTATTGGCCTCGATTATCCAGCTCGGGGAATACGTACACGTAGTTAACACATCACTCACATCATTAAATGTTATATGCGAAAGTGACAAAAACTCTGCACTATCCCTATGATAAACTGTTTTCCGCTCGCTAAGATTTATATTGTAGGCTTTATTAAACATTTTTCTATGACTCGGAAGGTTTGGCAACTTTAAATCGTTCTTTAAATAATCGTGATAATATATTTTATTTTCAATATAACTTTTGTTGTCGTATTGCGAAAGATAAATTCTCTCGATAGATTTAAACCTTATATTTATAGGTTTTTTCCAAACTACCTTCAAGAACAAATTATTAAAATACAGTAATGACATGATATAATAAAAATTTAATTACATTAGGATATAAAAGCAAAACCTCTATAATTTAATATAATATTAAAAATATTTATTATACAAAATAAAGCTATTGTGAACTAAAAATTTTAACAAAATCAGGGTTTTAAAAAAAAAAAACTTTGTCTTTCTGTTTTGTCAAAACTTTAAATTTAAAACTATACCAAATTGTAGCCTGAGTTTTGTTTAAATTATTACTTAAAATGATTTACTCAAAATAATGCACTAAAAAAAAGTTTGAAAAAAAAAAAAAGTTGAATGGTATAGTAGGACCACCCATAAAATGGTAATGAACCATCTCAAACAACACAACTTATGTTGTTTTTAAACTCTTTCATTAATATTTCTTTCACACACTTTTCATATAAAAGCGTTTTAAAGCGCCCACTCTTTTCTCATACTCTTTTATCAAAAGTGATTTAATGACGTACATCTTTTAATACATTTGTAAGCTCTAATTTGCATAAAACTCTGTAGTATTTTTTGGCAGTTTAAACAGTTCCGAAACGTTTTTTATAAATGAAACCATTTTTTGCGGAAATGCATGTTCACCCTAATGCAAATATATACTCTAAGCATTTAATACTTATTAAAAAAGTGTTATTTTACTTTTTACTCAAATAATCAACTAATATTATATTCTAAATTCTTTAGACTGTTGGTTTAGGCGTTGTTTAATTTGCATTACCTGGTATCGCATAACTACAGAGAACACGAAAAATAAACTATTATAAAATATTTCATACTATTTGTGCCGTAAGTTTTACACCTAAGAACAAAGAAATGTCTTTCTTCATACAATAATATTTCTAACTTATTCTTAATCAAAAATAGTAAAAAAACTCTATCATTCAAACCTGAACGTGCCCACGGGCTCTTTCTTGTTTCCACAAAACATCAAAAAAGTACTTCTTTCCAGCATAAAGTTGAACTTCAATTGACTCTTGTCTAGGGTACTTATCAAACTGATTTTCGTATGACCATTCCTTTCCTAAATAATTGTGAATATATATATATATATATATATATATATATATATATATATATATATATATATATATATATATATATATATATATATATATATATATATATATATATATATAAAGATTTTTATTATAATATGTAGAACGATAGATTATTTATTCATCTATATATATATATATATTTTTTTTTTACTAAATTTATTTATCCAAAATCTTTTCCCAAAACATACTAAATTGTCAAAAAGAAATATTATTTTTTAGTAACGCCTGGTTCATTTACTTTATTATCTGGTTCAATAACTATTTCAGAGAAACTTAACGTTATAAAGTCAGTTGTTTTTTTAAATAATGGTTCTACATGTTTATTTGTTATGTCTTCGTCATTTGTTGTGTCCGTTGCAATCGTACCTTAAAACTAGAGTTGTTAACAAAGCCAAAAGTAGCATTGCCAAGGCCAAGACCAAGGCCACACATTACAAGGCCAAGGCGAAGACCAAGGCCAAAAATTGCAAGGACAAGGACAAAGCCAAGGCCACGAGTTTTAAGGTCAAGGCCTAGATTAAGAGTTTCAAGGCCAAGAATTACGCAAACATTTTTAAGACCAAAGACTTCAATTTTTGCCTTACGTTAAGGCCGATTATTAACAAAACTGTAAGTAGCAAGTGCTGTAACAAAAAAACCACATTTTATAAAAATAGACCGAGATTATGCGCAGAATTCAACAAAATCAATAAGAAAATGAGTATTTTTTTGGCCTTAGCCTTGATTGTTTTGACTTTGACCTTGTTAAGGCGAAGGCCAAAACAATCAAGGCTAAGGCCAAAATTTTCAAGGCCAAGTCCAACAGTTTCAAAGCCAAGACCAAGGCCAAGGCTTCAATTTTTGGTCTTAAGGCAAGGCCAAGGTCAAGGCCAAGGCCTAGGACTACCAACTCATCTTAAAACGATACTTAATCCCTCCCCCATCTCTTAACTTACAACAGTTAATACGCGGGTTTGTTTATTTTACTATTTAAAAACAAATTTTAAATTTACTACCAGAAATCCCGCCAACTTCCGCTAAAAGTTTTAAATTCAAAGGATCCTCATCACTGCTTAACCAAAATTCGGAGCAGTCATCTGAGCTAATAGCAAACACATAAAATCCATCAATAGGAGGATGAATGTAACCAAATATGCGAGCGCCAAATTGAGATTCAGTGAGTTTAAGATGCAATGAATCTGTAGTATCTTGACGAAACGGTGAATAAGGAAACATAGGATGGCTTTTCAAATCCTCAACAGCATATCCACATATATTGTCCCAATAGTGTATATTTACAGAGTTTTTTAACGTATAATCTTTTTCTTTAATAGAAACTAAGCTCACAATTTTGCATTTTTCATCTTGCTTTTGAGGTGCATTACCATTTTTTAAAACAAATTTTATAAAGATAATAGCTAAAAACATACCCCCTAGCATCAAAAATTTTATTTTCTTATATTGTTGTTTTCTTTGCAAAAATCCAGTTAATGATTTCTTTGAAGTTATTTTTTTCTTACCGTAAACTGAACAAAATGATTTGTCTGCCATTTATTTAATGTAAGCAAAAATAATTTTTTGTCTACCATTTTTAAAATATATGGATTTAAAATCTATTGATTTAAAATGTATTGATTTCAAGCAAAATTGTTTTGCATTTACTTAAATAAAAAACACAATTGATGAGATGAGTCAGTTAAGTCAGATGAGTAACGACACCAAAACGACGTTAAAAGGTTAATCTAATATCGATCGTATATTTTTTATACTAGTAAATTATAATGAAAAAAAAGAAAAAAAATTCATTTTTTTTTTTTTTTAATGTATACATATGATATATACATATATAAAATATAAAGTACTGCTCTCACAAGAAGCTGTTATTAGATATTAACCTCTATTGGTAATTTCTTGTACTATACTGGTTGTATTTTTTTTTTATATGTATCTAATACTTCCGTATTTTCCATCAACCATAGTTTTGAACTATCTTACTTGTTACGCAAAATGGAATTCCAAATTAGTACTTTGCTTGTTGCATAAAATGTCGATTCTAAACCGGTATTTTATTTATTACGTAAAATACCGGTTCCAAATCGGTATTTTACTTGTTGCGTAAAATACTGATTCCAAGTCGGCATTTTACTTGTCTTGTAAAATACCGATTCTAAATTGGTATTTTAAATGTTACGTAAAATGCCGATTCCAAATCGTTATTTTACTTGTTACGTAAAAGTTATATTAGTAGACACATAACTGTAGTACTATTAAATTTCAGTTGCATTTTATATATCTGAGTTTCATTTATTGCATAACGTTGCATATACTGTTTTGATTGAATATTATTGTTATTCAAAATTTTTATTTAATACAAACTTATACAAATATATAAAAAGAAAAATATAAAAAATAAAGATATTACTTAAAATAAAGAGTTAAAATGCAGAAACTCAAAGGAAATAATAAGGCCTTGTCACCAAGAACCGTTCGAGTATTTTATATTTAATATGCAGTTACAGTCCATTCCTGGTAAGTCGAACACTGGTTAACTCGAACCTTTGTTATGTCGAACTGTTTCATTTAGTCCCTTGAAAATGTCTAATCGATTACTTTTATAATTTTTCGGTTAAGTCAAACCTTGGATAACTCGAACTCTGTTAAGTCGGACCATTTTTTTTCCCTTTTCAGCAAATTTCTTTAGATAACTCAAACATTTTGTATAGAGGTTTATGATATTAAAATAACTTTATCAATATTTTTTTCAAAAAGTAAAATTATTCCATATAAAACATAAATAATAGTAGCATAATAATTTCTGGTTTTTTTTTGAGTATTTGAATAGAATAGATCGTTATTTGGCAATTATAAAAACAATATTTTTGTAGTTGTAACGAGTTATTAAAGGATTGCTAGCTTTTAGACTCAATTTTTTTACCATAAATTATAGGATTTATTGCGTGAATACAATACGTAATTTCTTTTAAAGAAAAGTTGTGTTAACTTGAACTAATATCTCATAGCTAAATTTTGACTTAATGGAAAAACGCTTTAGGCGAACATTCGTTAAGTCGAAACATTATCTTTAATCCATTGGAGGTTTGAATTATCGGTAATTTAACTGTGTTTAAAGTTGTAGGTGAATAAATTTTATGCTTCGTGTAGCTACCATTTTAGCAATTACAAATAAAATTCTTAAATCTTTTTTGTCGGAATTAAAATTGATTGTCTGGAAATCTAAATTCGACGGGCTTTTTCTTCAGTAGTTTATTAGTCGTTTTAATAAAAACTATTATGTGTTAATAAAATTCCATTTGATGTTCCATAAAAAGTTTTTTCTTCCTCCATTCTTCGTGTAACAACTTTGTTCGATGCAATTCTTTTGACAAACAGGTTTGTTTTGAATATACACACCTACATATATACATATACATTTTTTGCATATGTATACATATACATATATACATATGCAAAAAAATGTATACAAGTATAAATATAAACACACACGTATACATATACCTATGTTAGTAACATAAATACAATTACGTACATAGGTATACATGCACACGTGTACACGCATATATACATTAACATACACACACATACATTTATACAGAAAAGATTTTTAGAATTTTATTAATTATCCATAATAAAAAGACTTTTATTCTTGGTCTCGAATATAGTTTTCATTTTGTAGAAGTAGGGGCGGACGCAATTTTTAGTTTACCCTGTTAAAAACAAAAAACGCTATACGCCATGTTGTAGATGATGTAATTGCGACCGCTGTGCAAATAAAAAAATTCAGGGGTATGACGTGCGGTAAAATAACAATTTTTGCGATTGCAGTGAGAAACCCATAAATTAGTTTTACTTGTGAACACGATTCAAAACTAAATTAATTTTCCATCAGGTTATTTTTAACATTTTGCTATTGCAATCCTTACCCTACCTCAATTAATTTTTGCCTATTTTCATTAAACACAGAAAACATTAAGGGAAAAAAAAAAAGAGAGAAAAAAATTAGTTTGACAAACTACTTTTGGTCGAATTGGTAAAGCACAGCACACAGTTCAGAAATTTACGGTTTAAGTTCGATCCTCACCACGTCCTTGGTAGTACCACGCTCAACTTATTTCTCCGCAAAGCGGCCTTGTTCGTCAAGGTTCGTGTTTCGGAGTTATAGAGTTGAGAGAGGGTTATAACCACTAGTAGCCTCCTCGTCTGTAGTGGCCTTCTCGGCCTTGAGGAAGTGAATAACAAAAAAAAAAATAAAAAAAATAATAAAAGTTTACTATCCCAAAAATGTTAATAATTATAGTTATTATAGTTAAGTGAAGTGTCGATTATAATTATAATAATTATAATAATACTTCACTTTCATATTTTGAAAAATCTGTGAGGTATCACATTTTTAGAAAATTTAACATTGAAAAACTACTAAAAAGTTATTTTTTTTTTGTATTTAAAAAAACTAAATATACTTACAGAATATTGAAGTTTATTTAAAAAAATATTCATACCAACTTTTCAAGGTCTTTAATCTAATATTTATACATAAGCTTCGTTAGAATACTCAAAGTTGGTCAAAAAAATATTTTGCAATAAAAATATTTATTTTTGACTTTGGTTTTTTTATTTTTATTTTATTATAGAAACCTATACCTATATTATAATACAGATACCCATATATTATTATAGATACCTAATATATTAAATCTGTGGCTCCTCTGCTCTCAAAGTAGAGTAGAGAATATAATTTTAAAAGAGATCATGTACTTTTTAAAATATCATCTGCTGTTGTTGCCTTGAAAAGTTCAGGTTTTCTGTATGCCTGAGTTTTCACTGAAAGTATTTGCCTACCCTACATAATTATACTCAGGTTGTAAGAAAAACTTATATCTCTGTAATGCTGGTAAAACTATTGTAGACACAGTTATACTGAAATGAAAAAATGCTAATTTGTATAGATTGCAAACCTCTAGATATATACATTAGATATATCTTGGAGCCAAGGCTAAAACAAAAAACTTGAGAAGATTGCGGGAAGAAAAAAAAAGGAAACACCAGGTCCAATTTTAGTTAGATTAGAAAATTCAAGTATGATAAAAACACTCTTTTGTATCAATCGAAAAAATTAAGAAACATGTTGAATAGAAATAGAGCTTGAGCATAAACGAAACATTAGGCAATTAAACTTAAATTAAACTTAAGTTAATCACAAAAAATTAATCACAAAAAACACAAAGAAATAAATACACAAAAACCACTGCACAATGTGAATAATATATATATATATATATATATATATATATATATATATATATATATATATATATATATATATATATATATATATATATATATATATATATATATATATATATATATATATATATATCTATATATATATATATATATATATATATATATATATATATATATATATATATATATATATATATATATATATATATATATATAAGAATTATTTTAAAATATTTCCTTTCGAAACATTGATATTAAACTCTAAAATAAGAAACATTGATATCAAACTCTGCAGAGGACAAGGATATGATGGTGCATATGTAATGTTTGGAATTAAAAGTGGTCTTCAAACTCGAATAAAAATGCTTTCACCAAATGCCACCTATGTTCATTGTTGTGCTCTTGTTTTAAATTTGATGACCATAGAAATAATGTCTATAAACAGCGATGTCCAGATGTTTTTAGGCACAGCTGAAAAATTGTATACGTACCTTACGCCTAGTTTACCACGACTTCATATTCTCCAAAAGCACCAAAAACTTCTATATGAATCAATAGTAGACACTCTGAAACGACTTTCTGATACAAGATGAGCAAGTAGGAAGCATGCAGTTGATGCTGATGTTGAATCTTTTCCTGATATTCTAGCTACTCTAGAAGATATAAATCTAAGAGAATCTAAAGAACATAGAGGAAATATTAAAGCAAAAGCTATTGGACTCTCAGTTTTAATATAAAAAAACATTCATTTGTTTTTCTAATATTATTTTTGTTAATTAATCTTTTTGCGTTATCTAGCTATTTACAACAAGAAGATGTTTTATTAGCAAAACAGTTGACTGATGTTACAAAATAAAAAGTTTGTGGATATGAGAAATGATGAAGTTTTCGAAGTTCTACATTTAGCAGTCAAATCTTTTATTAATGAAAAAATGTGCCAGAACTAGATGCAGAAACTAAATTTAAAGAAAACTTGTCTTTCTTTAAATTCAGTTAACCTAACATCATGCCAAAAAGAAACGCATGACAGAAGAGTTGTGGAGAAATAAAAAAGTTGATGATCCAACTACACGCCTAAAATGTGAAACCTACTTCAATGTTTTGGATACAATTATAGACCAAATATATAAACAATTTCACGACTTTAGTAACACAGTTACACATTTTGATTGCCTTAATCCGTCAAAATTATCTGAAGAAAATATAAATTTATTTAAAAAATTATGTCAAATTTATTGAACACTAAAGAAGCAGTCGTAGAGTATGAGACTTTCAATGATATGTATGCATCGATATTCCCATCGCTGACAACTGACATACAATTGAAAGATGTAGTTCTTGATTGAGGAACATATGGCATCCGGTTTCCCTAATTTGTCTATCCTTTAATAAATCTACATGACTCTTCCTGTTACATCTGCTAATGCTAAAAGAAGTTTCAGTAAACTAAAGATTACAAAAATTTTTTTTAGATAAACAATGACAAACGAACGTCTTTTCGGATCAGCATTAATTGCTGATCCAAAAAGAAGTTCTATTGAACGTGAGCTTGCTGAAAACATTGACTTTGACTTGTCGATAAATCTTTTTGCTTCAATGAAATCTCTCAGAATTTGTATAAACTACCTGAAAAGTGAATTTTTTTTCTAAATGCTAACTTTCGAAATAAGTCTAGTTAAATATTTTTTTAAATGACCAATATTTCAGTAATATTAAATGTTTCTCATTTTATAAAAAATAATTGTGAACTAAAATAAATAAAGGAAACTCAAAAATATTAGGTTATTTAGTCTATGTAATATGTGTAATAAAAGTCACATAAAAACACTTATAAAGTGTTTTAGTCGTGAAAATAATTTCTGGGGTTTAAAATACCACACCCGACCTCGGTCGCCCTCTATTCATTGACTTGGCTCCCCCGCAACACTAAACCTCAATCCACCACTGATATATATATATATATATATATATATATATATATATATATATATATATATATATATATATATATATATATATATATATATATATATATATATATATATATATATATGTATGTATATACATATATATATATATATATATATATATATATATATATATATATATACATATATGTATATATATATATATATATATATATATATATATATATATATGCATATACATATATGTATATATATATATGTATATTCATATGTATGTATGTGTATATTCATATATATATTATTCTGATTCACTCTTAACAAAGCTGCAAGCGCAACCGTTATTAAATTAGGAGTTACTATAAAAAAAAGAGAGTTATAGAGCAAGGAAACGGCTGACAGAAAACTTAAAGAACTGTAGGTTGTATGAGTCAGGAAAGATAGAAGAAAGTTTCATAGCGTTAAAATGTGAGGAAAGAAACTAGACGAATAAACATTTTTAGAGCATGCAGGGACAGATACAGTAAACAAATGAGACTTAGATAGTTGAACTCCCTCAGATAGAGTTGATCCAACTTCGCTTACAATGCATTTTTGGTGCTTTGATGAGAAAGAGCATCATTAAAAGAACTATCCCAAATATGACAAGAGTATTCTATACAGGAATGAATAAGAGATTTGTAGTGGTAGAGAATAGAATCATGAGTAAGAAAATGGCAAGCACGATAAAAAAAAAGCAACAGTAGCGGATGGAGATTTAGCAGTAGATTGTATATATATATATATATATATATATATATATATATATATATATATATATATATATATATATATATATATATATATATATATATGTATATATATATATATATATATATATATATATATATATATATATATATATATATATATATATATATATATATATATATATATATATATATTTATATAACAAATTAAATAAACAATATTTAATATAACAAATGTAAATAAACAATATTTATTGTGTAGCTTTAATAATGAGTTTTTAAATATTTTTCAAAAACTTACAAAAAAACGGAACCCTGCGCTTTTTTACCAAAATAGCAACCAAAAAAAGACAATATAGCAAGCACCAAAAAACGCGTCACATCTCTAGTGATGAATCTACTTGAATCAATTTTGTGCAATCAGTTAAATAACATTTTAGCAATAATAGGACTTACCAGTAATTTAATAATTTTAAAGTTTTTTTTAAAGAATTTCATAATCAACAGTATCAAAGACTTTTAAAAAATCTATAAGTATACCTAGTGTACCACGTTTACATTTTTATATATCAAGATATTTACTAACAAATTTAAAAAAAAATTTAAATATAAATAAATTTAAAAATAAGAAATTTACCACGAAATGAGTTTGTTGAATCGTTTTTACAATAAATTAATAAAAGCAAAAAACAAAACGTTTTTTATTAAATAATAATATTCTTTTTTAATGAAAATTTCATTATGGATAATCGATAAAGTTCGAAAAAAACCTAAAAAAAGTATTTTTGTTGACAATATTTTACTACCAACGAAATTTTAATTTATAATTTTTTTAAGTTAATTTTTAAATATATATAAAGAAAAGGTTACTCAATAATTTTTCTTTTGTAACTTTTTCTTTTCATATATTTGTATAAATAATGTAAATATTAAAGAGCAAACATAAAACAATAAAATATTTATATATATACCATAGTTTTAAGATTTGGCCAAATTTAAAAAATACCTTTTTTTTTTTTTAATCGAAAACTACTACAACTTTTCCGAAAACATTATGAAAAGTTAAAGATTTTTATATAATCTAATATGTGTTGGCTCCTCCAACTTTTGCAGTTAAATTTGATGTTTTATATCAGAGCTTTTTAAATAATTCCAAAAATGAAATTTTTCATATTTGGAATTACTTGAAAGAATATTGACATGGTGATAGATTATTTTACTTATGTAAAATAATCTATGTATTATTCTACTTAAATAAAACTATAGGATATAAACAATCCAACTCGCTTACAGACATATACATGACTAGCGGTAAAAGAATGTAATTCTGAATGAAACTTTGATGTAATTCTAAGAAAACTTTAATTAGCCTTTGCTATGTGGTTCACTATAATATCTTCTGTCATATTGGTGAATCTCTAGCGTTTAAATTCTTCTGAAAATAAAACTTTTTTTTTTTTTTGTTTCAATTTAACTATACGTTTTCTATTTGTTAGTTATATTTGTATTGCTTTTTAATAAAATTTTATCTAATCCATTATATTATATTAATGATCTTGTATTTTTTATGTATTAAAAATTGACCAGAAAATCTCAATGAGCGGGAGAACAAAAATTCTTGAGTACTTTTAAAATTTTTAAAATTCTTAAGTCATGTAACACATATGAGTAAGCCATTAGTGCGAGGGTCATTCCACGTCGAGTGATCCAGAAGGTCCCCACTCAACCATCTTAGATTTTGATAAAATTCTCTCAGTATGTAGTTAAACATGTTTCTTAAACATGGCCAAAAATTCAGTTCTAAATATTTGTTATTTTAAATTTTGTGGTACTTTTTGTAAAGCTTACCCAAATTTCAACATTAGTCACTAGCTATAAATCGTATTTTTAGGGTCTTGTATTTTTGCAAGGAAAATGTAATATATCTTAAAAACTTGAATTCGTAGTGAATCAAAGGTGCAGATTTGAAACTCTTCATTACAACTTTTATTTCATGCCTAGAATTTACACTTTGGTTCAACAAATAGCGTCGCAAATTCAACACCTTAAACTTTTATTGTTTTTTGTAGGGTAATATCTCCACAACAAAAGGTTTTTCAATAATGTAATTTATTCTGAAGGTTCTACGTGCTAATATGTATAAAAAATTATCTTTTTAAAAATTGCCTATGTTGAATTATTCTGAAATAAAAGTGTAAAAGTGTGAGTAAAAAACAATCACTAGAGCAACTAGTAAATGTCACTTAGTAAATGCAGCTGTCACTTAACAAAGTGAAAGAAATAAAAGAGTCAAAAATAGTTGAAACAGACAAGTCTTTACAATCTGAAAAAATTAAAGATGATAATAAAATATATATATATATATATATATTAACGAAGAAAAAATGACTTTTTCTATGGTGCTTTAAGTTTCATGTCTGTACGGCAATCATCAGCCATTGAATGCAAGTAAAACCCAGGGACTTGTTTCCACCAATTGTGTACTTTTGTGCAACCCAAACTGTCACTTATGAGACATAATTCAGTCTTCTGTGGATTGATCCTTATACTTTTCTTCGAAAATTAAACAAAAAAGTTCTGCATCACCTCTGGCTCTCTTTCATTCCTTACAGGATGGTACATAATCAGCCTCTAATAGATATAAGTTCTTCTTTCTCTTTTTAATTTTACCAGTAGTATTTTTTACTTCTTCCTTCTTATTTTTCTTTTTCTCTAGAATATTTCTCATTGGCGAACTAGTAATAATAGTGAAATATTTTTTTCTTAAACATTCTTTCGTCTTCACTCTGCTAAATGAAATTACGTATCTAATGATTTCTCTGTTAAAATTAAATGTGACAAAAGTAAAAAACATTAAGGTTCTGGCCGCCTGACGTCCGTATGTTATCAATGACACTTTAGACGTTCAAAATTTCCCCATTAGATTCTTCGCTTTTACACGCGGACACAAATAAATGATATACAATTTATCTATTGAGGTTGTATCGACATATCCAAAATATAATACGCGTTTAAAACTCTTTAACTATGGTACTATGCAACAACAATAAAAGGACTTTATATCCATAGTAACTACAACAGTAATGTTTCTCTAGTAAAAAATCACATGAAAATTATCAGAAAAATTATGATCAATTTATTGGGAAAAACGAACGCAGCTTCACTACACAACTGCATATCTGGAACTGAGTATGGGACCCCTCTCAGCAGGAAAAAAAAATTGTCAACTATCTTTTTCTTTCATGTCGTTTTGACCATGTTCGGAGTTACCCTGCGTTTGTCATTACCCCACTCTCGCCTATAATATTTTATAACAAAAAGCCTTCTAAATAAGAGACCTTTTTTTTTAATATTAATATTATTAGTAATTTACTTGAAATATATAAAAGAAGAGAATGTAAATTAAAATAGAAAATAATAATAAAACCTTTATCTTTAAAAGAGTTTTCAAACAATTAAGTTTTTAAAAAACAAGGTTATTCTCTAGTTTTCTTTTTAAAAAATATTATTTTGAATTTTATATTAGCCAAAATGAGCTTTGCGAGTTTTTTTGCCGGCAAAAATTTTGATAACTGCATCAAAGTCTAATTTCAATGCAAGAGACGTCTCAATTGCCAGTCTTCCCAAATTAGAAAGTTGATTTTGACACATCGTTGAAAGTAAAACAATTGTAACTCTTGGAAGCGTGCTGAAAGAGCGTTCTGCTTGTGCAACGGTAATTGGAAGAGTACAAAAGGTTCTAAGAATAACTAAAACGTTTGGGAAAAGAAAACAAAGCTTTAACTCACGGAATTAGTTTAATAATAATTAAAACGGCGATAATATTATTTTTCCAAGATTCGATACGCGAATTGCCTTTAAAATTTCTAACTTGTCTATTAAATCAAGAGAAATATCAATGCTGTGTTTAACGCTAATAGATGAAGCTTTCTCACGCGGCAGATATTTATCTAATCTTATGCATTTCCATACAACACCAAATGTTTTCTTAAAATCTTTACCTGCTTTAAAAGCCGATTTATATTCCAATAACGCAGTCTAAAAGATAATAAAAAATATCGCGCTTGAAACAAAATTCTGTACTGACTTCGCCAAATTTATTATTCGGTTCCTCATTTGAAAATCTAGCTTTTCATGTTTTCTCCGGGATTATGTCATTGGAAAACAAACCCAGATTTATTGGCAACAAATTTACATTGATTTAAAATTGAATTCCAGTTGTTTCTCTATAATAAGAGCTCATCAGTAAAGCTTTTTAAATTTAAAACCTCCACATCTAAAACTGCATTTTTGGCTTGCAGAACTTTCTGTAATTGATGCTAGTTAAAACTTTAAACCAGGTGCTCGCGAGTATGATGCACTCAAATGAACCCAAGTATTTTTTAATACGTTTGATTTCTGATCGAGTCTCGGCAGTCAGGTTTAGCTTCTTTAAGACTTGGATAGCACTCTTTACACTAGGAATACGTTCGGCAAAAAGTTTTACATTGTCAATCCTAACTGACCAACGTGTATCTGACATGCTACGCAAAGAGCATCTGATATATTTTTTTAAATTTTGTCATCTTTGCGGGTTAGAGAGTCTTTTGCACAACACCGAAGAAGGTTATAACCTCAATATAACACTCTGCGGCATGGACACCACACAGATTTAAGCTATGACATGTACATGAAGAATAAATTCCCAATGGGTTTCTTTAACAATCTCTGCTTGAGCTCCTCTATACTGGCAGCTCATGTTGTTGCCGTTGTCATAACCTTGACCACGACAGTCTATCATTGTTATATTGTGTTTTTTATTAACACTGTAAATTAATTCAGCAACATCTTTTCCCATTTTCAGATTGCAATCGACAAACTCTAGAAATTGTTCTTGAATTTCGTTAAATTAACATTTTTAAAAGTGAAATAGCATGTTACTTTTCCATATTAAAGTTAAAAGACTCTGATATAAATATTAAAATATTGCAGAGTGACTTTCGGCAGACATTATTAACAATTTCATGAAACAAAATATAATACGGAAAATACGGTCCACTGATAAACATTGTCATTTGGTATTTTCAAACCACCATGATTAATTTTAGTAGTATAATCGCCGAATTCTTCATAATAAAATTTAGCTTCTTCTTACTCTTCAACTTCATTTTGCACGATATATCCAGCTATGTATACTAATCCTGCTTTTTTATCTATTTGCGCATTCTTTTCTTTCTCAGGCAAATTGTCAAATATATCAATAGCATTACTTTTAAAAAAGTATCCACATACCTGGCAGTTATGTCTACTTTATACCGATATGGAGACCTAGTTTTGCTAATTGAATTTTTACTTTTTCAATGACTTGTTGCACATTGATAAAATATGTGCCTCCAGAACCTTATCGGAGTTTTCCAAGACATTTTTTCTAGTGGGTCAGTTGTAAGTTTTCCTAGTATTTAAAAGAATTTTGCAACAAAAATTTTTTAAGGGCTACTAAACCATGACGCGTATAAGCTAATGCTGCACCTGTATCTGTAGTGAACTGATATTGTTTGCTGCCTTATTTGCTAGCCATTTGTTTTGCCAATGCTGCAAGACTAAGTAAAAAGATAATTTAGCATCTTCTAAAGTTGATATAACTGCTCTATCTGGATCTTTATATCGAATATGAGCATACAGTCCTTCTATATTGACAATTTTCCAGAACTTTACAAATATTTCAATAAAAGTTATAGTCTCATCAGCTTTTTTTATATAAATAAGAGATACCACGAATAGTGATTTTGCTGAATACCGAATGTTTGCTGTTAATAATAACTGTTAATGTATTTATAATATAAGTTATCACTAGAATTTGTGAATAAACGAATTGAATTTACTAATTTCAATTCATTTGTTAACAAATTCAATAATTTATTTTAAATTATAGACCTCAAATATTGTTTTTAAAAACCGAATAAATATACTAATAACTAAATACAATATTAATAACTAAATACATTTAAATACAATTTAAATCGATAAGCCAATATAGTGATCATTTAAGACTTCGTATTTGATTGTTATTTTGCTTGCAAAAAACTACAATAAGTAACAGAATATCATTTAAAAGATTTGTTTGCAAAAAACTTTGTCAATAGCATCTTTTATTAAAAATAACTTA